CCATCGGCTGCCAGCCCCGGCTCATCCGACACATCACAGGGCAATGCTTTCAACATAAAGGAAGCTGCTACGCGTTCCTCTCCCTGTAGCCGTAGCATAAGCAGCAACAGCAGTGCTGTGAGCACAAAGACTTTCTCGAGCTACAAGAAGCAATTTTACTTTAGAGACAATGAGTGCGGGGAGAGAGAAAAAAAAGCATTAAAAGGAGATGACATTCATCTGCATTGTTGTTTTGTGTCAAAAGTGAGGAGGCAATTGGGGATCCTTCAGCTAAGACGAGGCAACGGCGCAAGCTGTTATTGGCAGGGAACAGATGTTTGAGGGAAAGTTGGCATTCAACAACCATTCTTCTTCTGACAGAAATCAACAAGAGAAACACGAGAGACACGCCGTGATTGTCACCCAATGAAAGGGAGACCCTTAAATATACAGGGAGGCTGGCATGCAAACATTTTTTGATTTTTACACCCCCAAAACATCTGACTGCTAGAGCTGCCAGCATTTGCGGGCCAAGGGTGAAAATGCAGCGTATACTACAACTTCCACAGCTTTCCATATACAAGAAAGCAAAGCTGAGCTCAGTTGTGGGAAATATGGATGAGGAGTCTGTACTAGTGCGAGAGAGACAGAAAAAAAAGCAACCCAAATACATCAAGCTAACAGCTCCAATCCTTCTGCTAGAGCGCGTAACCACATGCTCGTCAAGCATACTGTACATGCACCGATGTATACACAAGCAAACATACACACATACGCATAAATCCAGATACAGGATGTTGGCAGACAATTCAGTAAACACTCCCCTTATCCCTTACTAGTGTAATCTGCCTCTGATAAATGCCCCTCAAAGATAGAAATGTCACCTGATATGATAAACAGCATGCTGACGTTACATAAAGTGGCCTTATGCTAAGGAGTTGGAGAGATTAACTGTAGAGCAGAGATGGGAAAAAATGCTTTCTGTGATAAAAAGCAGACTGCTAGCTCTAGCAGAGAACCTGTGGTTCAGTTTCAAGCCGACTAGCTGAGAAAAGCAGGCGTTATGTTAAGAGTACTCCAAAAAGCTCTGTGCACAGTGTGTTGGATTTGCAGTAAGTTAAAGGTCAGGAACAATTGCAACCAAATTGCACACAAGCGGGTAAATGAAATATGTTTCGTCTCACAGCTCAGAAAAATGACAAATACGCTATATCAGTAAGACAATGCATGGAAGAAAATAGGCCAGGAGAGCAATATGTAGCACTGCATCACTAATCCCTATTCCAACTTTATCCATGAGGAATTATGGGTAAAAAGAAAAACAAAAGAGGAAAAAAGAAAAATATATTACAACCATTATTGCAGAGTGCAGCTTTATGGGTGTAAGATTACTATCGCATGAGTAGATTAAGCATCATGACAGTATAACATAGTGGTAAGCTCTGGGGACTTGTGCACTTGCCACTCAGGTGCTATACAAGCTTACAGTAATCACTACAGTACGGTGCTTCATTCTGGTCGTGTGCTGAGCAAAAGAGCACAGAGGGAAGGCAACATGAATTCTCAGACGGTCCATACAGAGGAAGACAGCAGTAAAAAGGGAGAACACTAAGTCAGTTTAATAAGCACATTTGACATTAGATGTCCACGCGTGGCCTCAGAGGGTGCTTCAATATGTTCCCATAAACAGTGGTTGGAGGCACGCTCCCTACATCATCCAGATTCCTCTTTAACGCCGTGAAACTTTGGGGGGCAATTTTACAGAAAAATTACTCTGAGGGGGCCTGGTTTCAATTCAGCCTCTTCATATCTTTCCTTCCTATTAAGCATCAAAATGTTTCTCCTCTCACTACGAATAGAGGTATGGACACCACCGGCAGCCGGGGAGAGCTGAGGGTGGGGGGATGTTGGAGAGGAGGAGGAGGAAGACATAGAGGGAAAAGGAGGGAGGGAGAAGAGAGGACAGAGGAAGAAGCTTGGTGGAATTCACACATCATATTACAGCAGCTAATCGCAATCCGCAGAGCATCAGCGATATTTTCATCATTCCTGTCATATTCTCCTGACCCGCCTCGGAACGACTAACAATCCGGGCAATTTATTGGCATATTGGCACGGGGTGATAAGGCTAAAAACAACAGCAGCTAGCAGCTGGCCCCAGGAGATGAGCTGATAACATTGATATGTGCTCCCACACAAAACACCTTCACCACTATCTCCTCTTTCTATCAAACTATTATTACAATAAAAGTATAGAGGCCTTTTTTTCCTCTTTCTTGGAAAGCCAACAAGGGGAGGGGGATACAGAAAGAGGAATATATATATATATAAATCAGATGTAACATTTCAGAGAAAAAAAACAAGAGGAGAAAATACATAATTTATCACTGTATTATCGGGATATCCAGGCAGCCTAATCAAGGAGCACTGAGTGACTATTTTTTGCCTTATCATCCAAAGTGGTGGAAACGGAGAAGGAATTATCAGCCAGCTGCAGATTGCTGGGCTGGAATTTTAATGGTAATAATCGGGTTTCTGATGGTATATCTTCTCTGCTTATCTTTCCCATTATCTGGCCTTATCTCCCCAGTCATCGGAGCAAATTAATGGTGCTCTTTCAGCATCGCCTTTTTATCACCGCTCAGAGAGCACCCAAGGGGAAAGAATAAGCAAAATATTAAAATACTGCATAAATCACAATTTTAGATAACAGTCCAATGTATGCAGGAAGGGGGTGGGTGGGTAGGTGGTGTGTGTGTGTGTGTGTGTGTGGAGGGGGGGGTACTGCGCCCAACAACCTTTTTGTCCTTTAGAATGACTGTCTGTGCTGACTTTCCGTGCAGTGCCTCCTCGGCCTTTTTTTTTTTTCCCAGAGTTCCCGCGGTGGGAGAGAGGATCTAGGCTCCTCGTGACCTTTTCTGCTTTCAAACCAAAAGCTTGATTATACGCCTGCACTCTGGCTCCATATTAACAAGATCTTACACATGACATACTAATTCGCCCAAAAAAAAAGAAAAGAAAAAAAAGGCCAGGTCACAGTGACGAAAGCGGAACACACTTGGCGTTTGGGCTTCCTTCGCTCGACAACAAAAAAACATTCGGATGCCACGATGGGATTGGTCCAAAAACTGAGTGGGCCAGTCACGTCACACGCTGTCGTGCCTCTTTGTTGATTTGAAATGGTTCTGGTTAATTTTTTTATGTTGATTTTTTATTTTGTGGCGCATGCCGACAAAAACACAACCACCACCACTGCGATGTTGAAGACAGTTTGAAAATGTAAATGATGTCACTGCAAAATGCTTATTTTCCATGGAAAGTTAATGATATAGCGAAGCTGATGTATTCTGAACATTAAAGAGGAGAAACTAGGTCCATACGTCAAAACAATTAAAAGAACACACTTTAAAGTACAAACTGAAATATTTAACACGTTAAACTGGTCAATTTTTCATTAACTGATGTGACGTAAGTGTTCAGGAATTAAATGAACAATCCAGAATTAGAGTTGCTTATAAATCCCAGATCCCTTTGTCTATTTTTTAATATATGTTTTAATTTATTTTTGCATTTAACCCAAAAATATTTAAAAGGTCAACAGAAAACAAGACGACACAAAATCTCTTCTGTTGCTGAATCTGTGTTGTACAAATGTCAGAAAACGCTCGTGTATACCAACAGGCACATGCCCTCATGAATTCATGCATATGAGCTCTGTCTTCTCTGTCTTACACACACACACACAAACACACACACACTTACATATGGGCACACAACCATTGTTTCTTATAGTCTAACCGTCGACAAAACAGTATCCTACTTCCATGTTACAAACTACAGCATGTAGTCTGCTGCCATTTCAACAGCAGCATACACTGGAGAAATTGAACACACACACACACACCACTGTATTTCACAGGTGAACATGTGTTTAAGCCCATGTACCCGCCTGTGTGTGTGTGTGTGTGTGTGTGTGTGTGTGTGTGTGTGTGTGTGTGTGTGTGTGTGTGTATAAATGGATGATTTCAGGCGCTTTAAAATCATCTAAGAAATTCAGAAAATATATGACAGAAAACTCTTAATTAAAAATATCTTAAATAGCTAAAATTACACATTGTAAATACGACACACTTTTCAAAATTCATGCAGGCCATGAAGTTCCACAGCGCTATTAAAATCCCCTCAGGTAAATGCAAACACAAATAAAAGCTGTACACAATTTCATCAAAAGCTGAAATGTGTGTAAAGCACGCTGCACACTTTCCTCAGAGCAAAGAAAACAGTTCTGTTTGGTTAAAACAGAAAGTTGCTCTTTTGCAGCACTGCCACAATGCACACTTATCAATACTGCTGGCTGATATCTAAGTCTGACAATTTATTTACACACACCTGCAAATAAATGTGTGTGACAAGTGCACATTTTTTTTTTTTTTTAAATATGAAGAATGTATATGAATATGAAGTAAACTTGTTAATATATATATATATATATATTATATATATTATATTAATATATATATTTAGTAATGCAATTCAAAAGCATTTTGGCCTTTTACACCAGTCTGGTGGTGCACCTTCATTCTTTCTGGCCTATAATTTTGAATTACTAAAGCTTAGGAGAGTCTCAACATTTAGCCAAAGTGATGCACACACATTTCTTGAGTAGGGGGCTGAATAACGGGATGCAATAACATCAAGCAGTTAACTCAATTTTTCTACAACTTTGCTTTGCAAGCGCTGAAACTTTTCGGCGAGAAGCAAACCGTTGGTTTGGGATTGGAAATCATCTCCTCTGAAAAAAACTAACAATAAAAAACACACACACACACACACAGCGGAGGGAGACCGGAGCGTATGGACCGTGACAAGGCAACACATGGGTGTCGATAGTTGAGCGCTGCTGAATCAGCTCCAGTGTGGTCACTATCACAGCGATATTCTGCGAAGTCTAATAAGCCCGGAGACGCGCCGTGGCGGCTGCAGCACACCGGAGAGAGGGAAGGAAATAAAAAGAAACTTACGTTTGATCTGCCTGGGGTTGCTCTGCTTCCTTCGGGACATGCCTGCTGTGCGGCTGGTCAGTGAATCCAGGTGTAGTGCTGACAGATCGATAGGTTTTGGTTCATCCAAGCAGCCGGTTTGGAATTTTTTTCTTTTTGTCTGATGGAAATTTAGAAAGAAAAAAAAGAAGAAGAAGAAGAAGAAGCAGAAGGGGGGCACCAGTACTTTTTACGCACAAGTCTATCGTTCCGTCTGTCTTTCCTTTATCTTTCTCGTCTCTCTGGCTCTGGCTTTCTCTCTCTCTCTCTCTCTCACACACACACACCCTCCCTCTCTCTCTCGCTCCCCTCTCTCTCGCTCTCTCTCTTTCTCAGCACCGTTCTCCGTGATGAGGCTGCGCTTCGCCGCGATCCGCACGGACTGACTGGGGAGGTGAAAGCGTGTTCGCGCTTTTGTTTGAAGATAAGGTTTGTTCCTCCCCGGGTACCGTAGCCGCGGCTTCGTGAACTTCACTTGATCCACAATTACTTTAACTTCCCCTTATTAATTAGCGTCACCGTTAATTAGCGCCCTGCTTTTTGTTTTGGTTTTTTAAGGGGGTAAATAAAAATCAGAGATGGAGACAAGCGGGGCTCCGGTCCCCTCCACAGTGTGGCTTTACAGGTTCAAATATAAGCAAAACACTAATCATTTGATTCAGACAAACACAATTTTTACCGCTTTATCTGAAGGAGGACATTTCTGTTACTTACCGCTTTACACGAGCTTTATTTAAGTGCCCTTTATCCTTTTTTTTTTTTTACATTTCTTTTGGTCATCTTAAAGACTGACACTCTAAAGATTATTTTTAGGGGAGAGCCATGCATTTATAATTTAATAATGAGCCTGAAACACACCAGGGTTAACTCCGACTCAGTTTGGCCGCTCATTCTCCCATGATGCACTTGGATGCTCTGACCTTAATATGTTGACCTTTTGGCCAAGAGTTTAAAGAAGTTACATGCAGTGCAGTTTTTGTTTGTTTGGGTTTTTTAACACACTTATATTTGTTATCAAAATTGCTAAACAACATATGAAGTGCTCGTGGTGAATTACTTAAAAAAAATATAAGCAACTTTTTTCAATTATTTTTTTTCTTTTCTTTTTTTTATTGTAAATATATTCAAATGGACTCTGGAACAGAGCTCCCCCACTGATAAATAAACAGTTGATAAACTGTCAATCAGAATGTGAGCGGCTTCTCATGCCTACAATTACTCTACCTGTTTGAGAGAAGAAGAA